CCAATGTTAATTATAAGTTGGAACTGCCATGGGGCCTCTCGTCCCAAGGCTGTTCAAGGCCTAAAGGATTTAGCCTCTCAGTTCAACTCATATATTATTTTTTTTATGTGAGACTAAAATCCAAGATTCTACTTTAAATAATCTAATCAATGCTTTGAATTATCCTAACTCCTTTGTTATTAACCCTGAAGGCCGAGCCGATGACTTAGCAGTTCTTTAGAAAGCCACCCTTAATATATTAGTTTTTGTTCTCAACCCAGGTATGTTTTCTTGCAAGTTCATTATGCTTTTGCAAATTGGTTGTTAGGTTTCATTTATGGCTCATCTATTAAACATAAACGGAACTCGTTGTAGAGAGCTTTGAATAATATGTTGTTAACTGTCAATCTTCCTTTCTTTTTGATGGGTGATCTGAATGAAGTTGTGACTGTAACTACTTTTGACCCCTCTCCTTCTACCTCTCGCAGTAATCATCTAACCTCCTCCCAATATAGAAACTTAATTCTAACTCATAATCTTGTTGAACTTAATATCCAGGGAGGAGGTTTTTCTTGGACAAACAAGAGAACTGTAGGACATATTCAGAGAACTTTAGATAGAGTTGTTCTTTCCCCTGATTGGCTTCAACTCTTCCCTGACAGTTCTCTGTCCCTAGGTTCTAAATGGGGCTCTGATCACCACCCTCTAGTTCTCAATCTGCACCCCAAACATCAGAAACTCCCTAAGCCTTTCAAATTCTTTGAGACGTGACTTTCAAAGGACTCTTGCGGAAATGTGATAGAAGAAGGTTGGCACATCCAAGTTCAGGGTCATGCTGCCTTTCGAGTCACTAGGGAATTGGATGAAATTAAGAAACAATTAATTCATTAGAGAAAAAATTCATTTCATAGATCCCAAGCTAAAGATAGATATGCTAGAGAGACAAGTCATTCAGGCTGAACAATCTGAAGATCATAACTTAACTTAAAGCATGTATAAAGAGTTGGGAGCGGCATCTTGCCAATTATAAAGTTTTTAGAGACAAAAATCTCGCCATACTTGGCTGCTCCTTGGGGACAAAAACACTAACTTTTTTCATAAGAGTACTCTTTGTCGTAGAAAGAAAAAAAATACATAGAATAAAGGACAGTAATAATCAATGGAATACAGAGCACTGTGACATTGCCACTATTTTTATAGATTACTTCTTTGACCTTTTCTCTACTCAAGGTACTCAGGACATTGACAACCTTCATTCTCTTTTCCCTCCAATAATCTCCCAGGAAGAAAATTCTATGTTAATGAGCATTCCCTCTGAGGAAGAAATCAAATCAACTCTTTTCAGCATTGGAAGTCTTATAATCCCCGGGACCAGATGGGATGCCCATTTTGGTGCTCAAGGAATGCTGGGAGTTTATGGGCCCTGAAATTATCCAAGTGGTCCAAGAATTCTTTAGGAATAAGAAATTACTCAGGAGACTTAACCATACTTTTATTTGTCTTATTCCTAAAAAGGTTGATTGCACTAAGGTTCAAGACTACAGACCCATCGACCTTTGTAATGTTACTAAGATAATAGCTAAACTAATTGCCTCTAGGCTCCGTACCCTCCAAGATAAATTTATTGCTCCAAATCAGGTAGTTTTTGTTCATGATCGACATATGTCTGATAATACCATTCTGACTTAGGAAGCCTTTCACTACTTGAAACATAAAAAAAGAGGTATTGGCTATCTTGCTATCAAACTGGACATGCCCAAAGCTTATGATCGCTTGGAATGGAACTTTCTTTTACAAATTTTGTCTTCCTTAGGATTTTCTGAAGATTTTTGCCTAATTATTAAGGAATATATTTCCACAGTTTCCTATTCTGTCCTAGTTAATGGCTCCTCAGAAGGTCATTTTCAGCCCACTAGAAGCCTTCAACAAGGAGACCCTCTGTCACCTTATCTTTTTATTCTTTCTATGGAGGGTCTCAGTCGTCTTCTCTATTAAGCAGAATCTGAGAACCACCTCAAAGGGATATCTCTAGCTACAAACTCTCCATTCTCCCATCTCCTTTTTGCTGATGATGTGATGCTTTTTCTTAGAGTCCACAGGGAGGAACTAGACAATCTGAATTCCATTCTCTCCAAATTCCAATAAGCATTTGGGCAACTCATAAACTTTGAAAAATCAGTGATCTTTTTCAGTAAAAATATCAGCCCAAGGCATCAACGAATGATTAAAAGGCAACTTCATATAGACTCTCTAAACCCAAATTTCAAATATCTTGGCATCCCTCTGACTTGGTTGCGGAACAGACATAATCAACTTAGTTACATTCTCAACAATTTGAAAGCTAAGTTAAATAGATGGAGAGCCTCTACTATCAGTCAAGCTGAGAAAAAGATCTTAATCCAAGCGGTCCCAATTCATCCCATGAGTCTAATCCAATTCCCCCAAAATACCATTAATCAAATTACAAAAATAGTCAAACATTTTTGGTGGAATACTTCAGACTACCATAGACATTGTTACCGTTGGTGCTCTTGGAATATCTTGACTCTGCCTAAATCTTTTGGTGGCTTAGGTTTTAAAAATTTAACCTTGGTTAATCACTCCCTCTTGAAGAAAGTTGCTTAGAATTTCCTAAATGAACAACATAAACTTTGGGCCCAAGTCTGGGAATCCAAATACCTCAAAGCAGAGTCCATTTTCCCTTATTCTACTCCTTCCACTACTTCTGTTTGTTGGAAATCTATTTGTCCAAAGTTAAAAGAATTAGCTTCAGATGTTGAATATTCGGTAAATGAAAATTCTAATTTTCTAATCTCCCAAGTGCCATTCCTTTCCTTGTTTCTCCTCAGGTGAGAAATCTCCCTCTCTCAAATTTGATCACAGAAGGTCAGTGGAATTAGTCGATAGTTCAGCACTATTTCAATCAAGAAGAAACCAGGAAAATTTGCCAAACTCCTATATTTCCCTATGATGATTTGCATTGGATCTGGCTTCCTCACAAATATAGGAATTTTACTATCAAAGAAGAATACAAACCTAAACAAGCTCCTATCCCTAATCTCCTAGATAATGTTAAACTTTGTCTTTCCAAAATTTGGAAACTTCCTATACCTCCAAGATATCAACTGTTTCTTTGGAGACTCTTTAATAATTTTCTCCCTATCCGAAGCATCATTTTTGCTGACCCTACAAACAAAACTTGCCATCTCTGTAACCAATTTGAAGAAACCATAGCTCAGCTGTTCATTCATTGTTCTTTTGCTTGTGCAATTCTCTTTGGAAATCCTTGGAATGTTGACCTTTCAACCATTCCTCATCAATCTTGGGATAATATTTTCAACCATCTTAGTAATCAAATTCAAGATAATCACCTTCTGCACCTCATTCTGAGTTGGTTTGCGATTGCCTGCTACTACATCTAGAATGCAAGAAATAATATTTTTTTTGAAAATAATCAGACCTTTCCTATGCGAACTCTCTCTACGGTCAACAAAATCTTTCAAAATTATTTTTGTCAAACTAATATAGACAATTCAAGTTCCTTAACTTTGCATACCAAATCCTTTAATCTTTCTCTTAGCTCTACTACTGAATTAATTGTTTTCACGGATGTAGGTAAAATCTCTAACTCTTTTTTTTCTTTTGGTATTGTGATCTTAAATACCAACTTACAATGCCTAAAAATTCTTGGAGGCCGAACTTCTTATCYTTCAATGGTTGATCAAGTTGAACTGTTTGCAATTTTGTAGGTTTTTTTGGAACTTCGAAATTGGAATGAAAGAAACATCTGCCTATGCTCAGACAATCAGATTGTTATTCAGGCATTTGAAGAGACTACAATGCTTCCTTGGTTTTGCCAATGGATTTTGTAGAGAACCAAGCTTTTAATTTCCTCATTCCAATTTAATGTAAATTTTGAACATATAAACAAAACTTTCAACTTATCTGCTCACAAGGTATCCCATAAAGCAAAAACTTTCTATCAAGACTCTTTTGAATATAATGTCTATCCTGAAGGGATACCTCGAGTTGAGCATTATGTAAATATTTCCTCTTATTAATATATTTTCCTCTTTTATCTGCAAAAAAAAAAATTAATGGAAGAAATTATAGAGTGGAGAAGTGTGGCTTTAATTTATTTCAAAAAAAAAGAAGTGTGGGTTTAATTAATTTCTTTTTGGTCTGTGTAGCGTAAGGTTTCGGCATAGTTGGTTAGGACGTGTTTATAACAATAAAAAAGTATTGTCATTTTCTTAAAATATAACAATTACATGGTATGACATGTGAGGCGATTGTGACAAAATCCTAATGGCAAGGGGAGAGAATTAGTCAATTATTAGAGAATTTAAGGGTACTTTAAGTGRCAATATGTAAACAATAAGGGTATAGTTAGTCAATTAGTTAAACCATAAAGGTAGTTTAAGAAATTTGCCCTCGAGATATTACCAATGCATGATTGCAAAAGGTAGTTGGAATGGTGTGGACATGGGTTTGCCTTGATGGAAGTTGATCAGAGGCTTGGGTCAAGTTCAAGCCCGTTTGAGCCCCAGCCTTGCATTGAGATCGACTTCCATTAGGGCTGTTGGAACGGTGTGAACACAGACTTGGAGAGCGACTTCCATTAGGGCAAGCCCGTGCCCGCATTGAACTAAATCGGATTCAGCCAGTGCAAAAGCCTGTTCAAACACCCATTATACATGGCTTTTGAATTGTCGTTGACCCAGACAGTCGGAGCATTCGGCCCGGGAACCATCTAAGCAGCCGGTTCCCTTTTACCCCAAACCTGGCCTTTGACCAAAATCCATTGAAAAAGTCAAAATCCATTAACCCGGATGGTCAATCCATCAATCCATCCAACGGTTTTTGGCCTTTTTTATTTTTAATTATTTTTGTTAAAATAGGCCGTCCATTCAAACCGGATGATCAGACTATCAACCCGGAAACTGATGGCCAAAACGGTTCCGTTTCCGGGTCGTTTTTTAAAATGTTGCCATTATAGATATCTCCCCACAGGAAATGTTCGAACAGGCCTAGCACTGACTGAAGCCGATCTCACACCGAACTCGTTTCAGACTTTCAGTACTGTAATGCTTTGGTTACTTGTTATGCGAAGCGGGAAAAGGGGAAGAACGAAGCCAGACACTCGCGAGTCTCTCTCCTCTCGCTCTCCTCCGTCAGCGATAAAAGGAATACAGAAGTAAATCTCCAACTCCTCTTACTCTTCACTTGTCTCTTATCTTATATTGCTTCGATGAAATCTGCTTTATCTACTTGTTTTTTACCAACCATTTCTCCGAATTTTTGTCGAAATAATAATACGTTTATTACTTTGTTTTTCTCATTTTCACTAAATGGTCTCTGGAATCGGTGAAAGAGTTTTGTTCAGTTTATTATTATTATTATTATTTTTAATTTCATTGCTTCTATTCGTTTCGTTATGCAAATCTTTGATTAATCTTTCCGTTCTTGTTTCTATACGATGTTGATCTATATGGGTTTAGGGTTTATTGGTTTATGTCCAAAACAGGGAGGAAAGTCCTGGGTCTTCTTGATTTTGCTGTTATAGTTATTTGTTGTTACATTGTTACCTTTTCAATTCATTTGTGACATACTGGTGAAGCATGTGATTGCATGTGTTGTTGTTGATGTAGCTGAAGCAGAAGGTGGCATTACGACTAACCATCTACTAGTGTCTTCTCAAGGTTTGATAAACAGCAGTAATTGTACACCAACATGGTAAGTCTCTCTCTCTCTCTCTCTCTATCTATCTATCTATCTATCTATCTATCTTCTTTGTATGTATATGTCTGCGTGCTTATCATGTTTCATAGAATTTGATCTATATAGATTAGTAGAATTTTCCGGGGGATTCTGCTACTGATAGGCATTTTTACATGTTTTGTTGTTTCAGTCAGGCCGTAAAGAAACAGTTTTAGATCTGGCAAAGTTTGTTGACAAGGGTGTCCAAGTCAAATTAACTGGTGGGAGACAAGGTCAGTTGTATAGCTCTTTTTTTCCCTATTTTTATCTCTTTTTATTTTTTGGCAGACAAGGGGGCTAATTATTATCTTAGTGAACAGGGGATTGGCTGCCCTTTTTATGTTTCTATACATATTTGTATACTTAGAGTTTGGTTACTCCGGGATTTCATTATTTTCTCCAGCCACATTTTGGTTTAAGCAACAAATTTCTATGCATTGATGTTTTGGTTTAAGCAACACTTGAACGAGTGTTTCAGGATTTCAGGATTCTTCCCAAACTTTTGGCCTCCCTAACCAGGACTCTAAACTTCCAATCTGATTCAGTGTCAGAATTGAGCCATGAAATGACCACTTTACAATCGCCTTCAATGGTGAATCCCAACCACTTCTGCAAGGCCAGCAGTTTAAGTCCTTGTATCATCACCATCAGTTCAGCCCTTCAACAAACTCTTAACCCCAACAGCACCACATAGGCTTAATTTGATGAAACCCTGCCATTCCTTATCACACCCAAGGATCAAAATATGCCGCCTTTTATTTTTTATATTTTAGTTTTATTTTTTTTTTCAAACTGGTTCAGAGGGGTTGGTTTAAGGCCTGTCTACCCCCTGAAATAGGTGGAACCTCGAAACACTCAGTGTAAAGGCATATCAGAGGGTCACTGATATGATACATATTGGCTGATATGCCCCGGTACATTGCGATATTTTGATCCTTCATCACACCACTGACGAGGTTCATCTTGGTTGCCTAGACAGCAACCATCAAAGTAAAATGATGATTCAGCATTAGAGCATAGCAGTGCAAGAGTTGTATTTAGATTTCTTGGTTGTTCTCCTGTAGCTTGTCATGTTTTTGTACTGTTTTGTAACTTGAATGCGTCCATAATACTCTGGATTGATTAATCATTATGTTCTCAAAAGATTGACAGTGTTTGTATTAGCTATTTTCTTCATTCATCTTGCTTGCCTATTCATGTATTTTTGTGCGTGTACATTTTCTGAATATTAAGTTTGGTCTGAAGTTGATATGACTGTATAATCATTTTCTCTTACAGTGACAGGGACCTTGAAAGGATATGATCAGTTACTGAATCTTGTACTGGATGAAGCAATAGAATTTCTAAGAGGTATTCACCTAAAGTGTAGTAGTATACAAACCACATTTAATGAGCGGAAGTTTTTTTTCCCCTTAAAATCCTTACTTTTTTCTTTGGAAAGGTAATGCAATTCTATTGCTGTATCAGAAAGATCTGTAAGCAATACTGATAAAAGAACGAATCTGCAAGCATTCTGATAGAAAGTTCTGTAAGCATGTACATCAAATCCCGGTATACAGTGAATGGGTATGCAAAAAGGTATTAGATAAATCAATTTGTGTTATAAGCAAAAGAGTGAAAATCAAAGAAGAGGAATGAGGAATTTCCTTGAAGTCCTTGTGGATAAGTGTTTTAAAAGTGAAAGGCACACAAAAATTGACAGGTTCCATATGCGCCTGAGGCGCAAGGCGAGGAGGCGCACGCCTTTTTAAAAAAGGCGCACAAAATTAAAAAAAAAACTAAAAAAATAGAAAAAAAATAGAAAAAAACATGTAGAAATTCTAAGAAGAAGAAGAAGCCCCTGTTTTACTGTAAAAATGTTTTTAGAAAAAAGACAATGAAAAAACAAGAGTGGGCGGAGCCCCTGTTTTTCTGTAAACAAGAAGAACTGAAGAAGAAGAAGAAGAAGGTGGCCTCTGAAAGCTTGTTGGTCGTCCGACTAAGAGATGGCCTCTGATAGAACGTCGAAGGTGGCTGTTCGATTGAGAGATGGCCTGAACTTGTTGATCCAAGAAGAACGTGGGGGCTGAGGGATTGAGACTTCAACTGATACTGGGAGTCTGAGAAGCCTTGCATGGCAAGTTTTTTTTTCTCTCGAGAGGGTCRTGACTTTCTTTTGAATTATAATCTATCTATAAAAGGAAATAATCTATACACATARCATTATAATCTATCTATTAAAGTCAATTTAAAAACAAATTAAAAAACAAAAGGCAACAAATATAGGTGCGCGCCTGGACCGCCTGGCACCTGGTCTGAGGCGCATGCCTTTGGCGCAGAAACGAGCGCCTTATTAAAGTGTAGGCGCCTTGACCCATGCGAGACGCCTACTCTCGAAAACGCCTCGCCTTGCGCCTCAGAGGTACGCCTTTTAAAACACTGGATAATAGAGTGCCAATAACTCTTCTAAGAATTACCTTTTCCTAGGTAGTTCAGGAAACAGCCAAGGGTCTTGTATACCAAGAAAGTCTATTTGATTCAGCATTGATTTGTGAATCTGAATTTTTTTGAAGCAATTCAGTGATAGAATATTAGTCTTAGGTTCCAGATTATTTTTGAATTAGTTACCTTAAATCAATGTGATATCAGAGCATCCACATTTTCTAATTTCTTTGTGAAGGGGCAACATTGCACCATTCACCCAAGAGCCAGCCCCTATTTTATACTTGCTTCCTTTCATAGTTTCATAATGGTATGAGTTTTCAATTCCTTTCCATACAACACATCCATATAGTTTTCAAGGTGTCTAGGCGATTCTGGGCGACACTGGGGCACCTAGTCACCTAGTCGCCTAGGCGATAAAAAGTTTTATAATATAAAAAACTAGCTTTTGGCTAGTTTCCTAGTTTTATATACCATTCAGCATGTATGTTAATTGAAAAAATAGCAATTCTCTTTATTAAGAACATTAAGTTTCCTCTAAAAATGTGGCAAATCATCACATCTAAAAGATAAAAATCTTTTACATATATTAATTTCATTATTTTCAAAAATAATACTACTATAATAAGTATTTAATAGAGCAAATTCATATTAATTAGAAGCTAAAGAAGGTTATTAACTTTATATGATAAATATTCAAGATGGAAAGTAAAATAGAAAAAAAAACAAGGATGGAGTTTCTGTTTTATTTAATTAGAGAGAGAGAATAGAAAAAAAGAACTTTATTATTCTATTCTTTCTTTCTTTCTTTCTTTCTTTCTTTCTTTCTTTTTCTCTTCTCAAAACCCTTTGATCTTTTAAATTTCAATAGTAAAACATCAAAGCAAAGTATAATTGATGTATATAGCATATAATAAAATGTATCAACACATGCATTAATAAGATACAGCAATATAAATGATATTATAAAAGCGGCCCACCTTGTCGTTTTTGTCGCCTAGGCAGGCGCCTAGTTGCCTAGAAGGGCATCTAGTTGATTAAGTCAAGGCGTTTGGGCGAGGTGCCCAGCCAAGGGCACCTAGTTGCCTAGGTGGGTGCCTAGGCGACGCCTTGACAACTATGCATCCATTTGACTGCTGAAAATCTCCCAGGTCCAACTTGAATTCTGTCTCTTTATCTTTCAACTATGGTTTCCCTTCATCGCCTTTCTTTCTTGAATTCCTAATCTATGAAATGAAATTTAAACTCTTTCTTCCACCTCTACATTAAATCCCTTATCAACTTTTCCGACTTGTCAAAGACACTTGCTGGAGTGGAGAAGACGGACAAATAGTAGGTAAGGAGGTTTAGTGAAGTGCTACTAGTGAGTGTTACCTTAACTCCTTTGCTAAGTTTCTAGTCTTCCATGATGCCAGTCTTTTGTTGAAGCATTTAATGGTAACCTCCTACATGAAGTTTTAGTTGCATACTTCATGGGTAGTGTTCTAATCTTGCAGCCCAAGGATGTAGTTAATCTTGTTCAGATTTGGGACTSTAATCACCATAATTTCACTTTTGTTCAGTTTGAAAATATGCCAAATACTTATGTTACTCAAGTATGCAATACATGTTGGCATCTAGACCTCTGGTGCATGCTTCTTGGCATCAAGTCGAAGTAATGAGATTATAGGGGTTCCCTACAAGCCTCAAAGTCCTTAACCAGATCACCTCGTTCTCTCTCTCTGATACCAAGTCTCTGTTACAGATGGCCAGAGAAACCAACTGATTCACTATCAGTTGGTTAGCCAAATCGCCCTGTTCTATGTTCATTGTAAACCTACTTGGTATTTTAGTAAAACAAGTAAAGGGAAATTGGGAAAGAGTTTATTGATAAAAAAAATTGGGAAGGAGTGATCCCCTTGTCTTATATCTCTAGATGTGTAGAGTTTTCCTTGAGATGTTATATTTCTAAGTATTAAGAGTGGGTTAGTGATGCAAGTTCTGATTCAATTTGTTTTCTGCTGAAGTTCATCCTCCCCGACATGTTATCCAATAAGGGGTCTTGCTTCTAATGCTTGAATAAATCAATTTGTTGGTAGTCAAACTCTGCCTAGAATTTGCCTATCTATAACAAAAGCATGTCAGAAGTTATAATTTATAATCATGTTACTTATTGGGGGGGGGGTACTTGGGTGAGCCTAGGTTGGGTATTTAATAAAATTTGAAGGGGTCTAATGCAGTGTAAATGCTTCAATTTGGGCACCCAATTTGCACTTCTACAATAAGATTGTCTTATCATATTAATTTTCTGTTGCACCAACCTCTAGTTTTTTCATGCTATTAACAATTGTGACATGGTTTGATATGTGCCTTCGGAGAGCTCACCCCTAAAAGCTAGCTGTTAAGAGGGAGGGAACCCAAGCACATATATATCACACAACAGCATCCCATACTACCAATGTGCGACAAATGGATCTTAACATTCCACCACGCTTTGCAGTCTCGACGCTCACCTAGGCGGTAGGCTGCAATACTGACGTCACCACCTGCGCCGCACGATTGCAACTAGGAGGCATAGTGTAGGCTCTGGTACCATTTTTTTTTTTTTTTGATTGGAAACAATAACTTCAACCCCTAAACAGGTCCCTTGTTTAGTCAACATGTCAGCTCACCCATTAGCTGATCTCTTTGTCCATTTGAAGCACGCACCGATCTCCCTTGTTGTGTTGAGGATTTCCCTTATGGGCTGTCTATAAATCCAGGTCCCCAACTTGCCAAATTGCAGCCACTCCAATCAACAATTTAGACTCTCAATGAGCAAGGCCATCACCTCCGCTCTCAGTGAGCCCTTCACTCCTATTGGCATATCTTACACCTTGAAGCAAGGCCATCACCTCCGCTCTCAATGAGCCCCCCACTCTTATTGGCCCTGAAAACATAGCCACAATTCTGCCATTTTCATCTCTGAATACTCCTCCTATACTTGAAGGGCCCAAGTTACCTCTAGAACTTCTGTCAAAGTTCAGTTTCTCTCTTTGTTGTGTTGGTGGGGACCACAATTCTTGCACTGTAGGTTTTATGGAAGTTGTAGATGACACCACTTCCTAATTCCTATAAATGTCTTCAGTTGAGAAGTCTTTGAACAAATCCATAGTTTTCAACCATTGAATAGTCATAATGATTATTCTTTCTACAACTTCCCCCTTGGATTTCTCCTTTCCTTTAAAGATCCTATTGTTCCTTTCTTCCCAAACTGACCATAAGATAGCTACTCTTGTGGTTCTCCACATTAATCTTCCACATCTCTTCAGTTGCCTGAAAAATCTTGGGTCAAAAAGGCTTATCACGTCTGGGGGAGGAGTCCACCTGCAACCAAAGATAGAAGAGAACCAGGCCCAAATAAAGCACACAAATGGACAAGAAATTAATAGGTGTGTGATTGTCTCACTAGAGCCCAAAGGCTACAAACATGGGGTGATAGGCATAAATTTGGCCTTTTTCTTTGCAACATATCTAGAGTATTGATTTTTTTGGAGAACCACCTCCCAACAAAAAGCCCGAATTTTTGGGGGTACAGGATGTCACCAAATCTCCTTTGAAGGAAAGCTCCTTGCAGGGTTTGTTGACTGAACGAGGGCATCAAAAAAAGAAGAACAAGTGAACATGCCAGTTGGGGAGGGTTTCCAAATTCTGCTGTCCAAACAAGATTGTCTATGTATTATTCTAAATTATATTTGATTTTGTTTGGATTTATCCTTCTCTGGTGCATGTGCATCTTTGTGCAACTTTGCAAATGCAATTGAGAAGTTCCATTGCCATCTTTTGGGAAGATACATGACAAACTAGTGAATTACCTGAGCAGTCAGACTGCTTCAATTTGGCACAATGGCCTTTGCTCAACTTTTGGAAAGTCCTGCACCAGTTCTATATGGAAACGAAATACATGGGCAATTTATAATCTAGAGATAGTTGCATGTCAAGCGCTTCTAGTAGCTCTTTTTTGCATGCATGTAGGCATGTATATTTATAATTTTCTATTTCAACATGATAGTGGCTTCTAGTAGTGTATGATGAAATAGTTAACTGTTTCTTCTTATTATCCTTGTGCTGCAGATCCAGATGATCCACTGAAGACAACTGATCAGACTCGGCGTCTTGGTTTAATAGTATGTCCTCTTCCACTATTCTAATTTTTATCCATGTGAAATCTATTTTTCTCCTGTTATAAGTTATCATTTCATGTGAAATTCTTGATGACTGTAAACACATAACTTTCACTATTCATTGACGTTTTTTCATGCTTTGACCATGTCTTAGAATCCCTGTCTTCTCACCCATCAGTTGTCTGGACTGGCTTGAGGTCTTCTGGAAGGGATCTTTAGGATCATGAGAATGAGGAGGTGACGAATCTCATTAAATGAGATGGATGCTAATTGTGCCAGGTCAATCCTTTGGGTTCTTTCTTGTGTTTCTACCCTTGGTTGCCTCCCCCCTTTTCAAACCTTTTTGGATCATAAAGAGGACTGCTAATAAACAAGTTCATTGTTCAACTCTCTGAATTCAGCACTTCACATGCTGGGAGGGGGGGGGGACCATAAAAAGACATTGGACTTTGCCTTATGGTGAATCTTTTAATGGGCCTCACATTGTTTTTTTGGAATCGATACCAAGGTGTTGCATATGGTTTTGGTTACCGACATTCTTTTTTTTTTGATCAATAACACTTTCATTAAATCAATATGAGAATAATTACAGAAAGGAAGACAAACTTTCTTATCTTCAAAATACAAATTGAGCCCCCAAGAAAAGAATGGGGAAAAGGAAACATTAAAATTACAACCGGGCCCAAAACATTGATTCCCTTTTCACCCCTTGTTTAGATAATCCATCAGCAAAAGAGTTAGCTGATCTTTTGACCCAACTCATCTCAACTTCCATCTCTCGCACCAGCCACTTAAATTTCCTCCTCTCATTGCTTTAATTCCATAAGCCACTGTTATCTTTATTCAGCTACCCTATCACCACCTCCGAGTCCCTTTCAATTATGAGTTTTCTGATGTTCATCTCCTTAGCTTTCTGGACACCTTCCATAACTGCCAAGGTCTCAGCTCTAAGGGAGTCACCCACTCCAATTGGGCCTGAGAACAAGGCAGAAATAACCCCATCCTCATCCCTAAAAACACCCCCAATCCCTGAGTGACCAGGATTCCCCCTACTACTCTCATCAAAGTTTAGTTTTAAGAATCTAGCAGGTGGGGGGTCGAAGACACACTCAATATTGGTTTAATCTTGGTACAGTTTGCAATCTCACCCCACTTCTTCAACATGTCATCCACTTTGTAATCTGTGAATAGCTCAATGGATTTCAGCCATTGTACAACCATTATATGGATTACAACCTTCAGTTCTTCAGCCCCTCTCTCAACTTTTGAGAAGATCCTGGACTTTCTTTCTTCCCATAATGACCAACAAACTGCAGCCCTCAGTTCTCTCCACATAGTCCTTCCCCTTTTCATACGCCACTTGAAAAAAGAGGGGGAGAAAAGACTTTGCAAGTTTGATGGAGAGTTCCAACTACATCCAAAGAGGGATAAAGCCCACTCCCAAATAGACTTTGCAAAATTACAAGACACCAGTAAGTGAAAACCAGTCTCCCCATCAGCTTTGCAAAGAACACACCAGTGAAATGATAAGAAAGTATTGGGTCTCTTCTTTTGGAGCAGATCACTAGTGTTGAATCTTTCTAGATAGGCTTCCTAACAAAAACACCGAACCTCATTAATAGGGAAAGTGGGGGCTACAGGATGGTGGGTTGACTTAAGACTTTAAAGAAAGAAGCATAAGAAAATGAGCCAGTAGGGTTAGGGGTCTAAATTCTAGAATCCACCTTAGTAGGGTCTAAGAAAACATTATCAAGAATTTCAAGGAGGCTCGAAATACTGTCAAGGTCTGAGTCCCTCACAATCCTTTTTAAACCCAAGTTCCACCCGAGCCCAGAAATGGAAGAGGAAGGGGTGATGAAAGAAGAAACTGGCTAATTTTTAAAATCAGATAGGGCATACAAAGAAGGAAACAATTCCTTTAGAGGGGCATTCCCCACCCAAGTTTGTTCCCAAAATTTTATGGAGTTACTTGAATTCAAATCATACCTAATAAGATGGGAGAATATTGGCAACAACTCATGAATGGCTTTTCAAGGTGAAGTGCTTGTGGTCCTAGCTCCGATTCCAGCATCTCATTCATTTTGCTCCAACCCGTGTATGCTTGCCACTATTCTAGCCCATAGCTTCTCCTGCTCCAGTGGGAACCTCCACAACCACTTCCCCAAAAGGGCCATATTCCTTTTTCTAATGTTCCCAAACCCCAAACCACCACATTTTTTACTCTTGGTCACCACCTCCCAGCTTACTCTATGATTCTTCTCCTCTCCTGGCTCCCAAAGGAAATCTCTCATCATCCTCTCCAATCTGCTAGAAACTTTCATTGGGATTTTGAACACTGAAAGAAAGTAAATGGGTAAATTTGCTAAAGTGGCCTTAATCAGTGTAGTCCTTCCACCAAGAGAGGTAATTCTTTTTCCAAGAGACAAGTTTCTTTTCAAATCTTTCCACCACTAGGTTCCAAAAGCTCTCTCTCTTAGGGTTATCACCTAATGGCAACCCTAGATAATTCAAAGGCAATCCTGAAACTTTGTACCCTAGCACTTCTGCACTCTCCCTAATCTCTCCCTCCTCCATATTCACACTCACTACACAACTTTTCCCAAAGTTCACCTTCAAGTTTGACATTTGTTCAAAGAGCTGTATCACCAATTTCGTATTCTTGATGAAACTCACATTACCTCTATAGAACAGAATCGTATCATCAGCAAACTGTAAGTGGGTGAGGGGGGTTTCCTCCCTTCCAACTCTCCAAAATGAGGCCCATGGAAGCTGCCCTGTGAATCAATTTCCCCAGAACATCAGCAATTAGTATGAACAAGAAAGGAGATAGGGGGTCTCCTTCTCTTATACCCCTAATGGCTGGGAAGAAGTCTACTACTGTCCCATTCACTAGCACAAGATAATGACAATTCCGAACACATCCCATAATCCATTTGCACCATCTAGCCCCAAACCCAAATTTGGTCATAACTTTCCCCGACAATTCCCAGTCCACCAAGTCATAAGCCTTCTTCAGATCTAATGTACAAACCACTCCATTCTTTTTATCCTTATTGAAATTCTTCCACTCACAAAAGCTCCTTGATTTTGTGCAATGATGTATGGTAGTACTTCCTTCAATCTCAAAGACAATACCTTTGCAATAATCTTGTACAGGCTATTTACCAAACTGATTGGCCTGAAATCCTTTGGGTGGGATGCGCCTTTCTTTTCTGGAATCAAAGCTATAAAGGTGGAATTCACACTCGGGTTAACAACTCCTATGAAACTCTTCAAAGACCAACAGAAGGTCCTCTTTCAAAATATCCCAACAGTCCTGATAAAAAGCCATTGTGAACCCATCTGGCCCTAGAGCTTTTGTTCTATCCATAGATCTATAGCCTCCTTAATCTCTTCGAAATCAAACCTTCTTTCCAACCTTCTCCTGTTATCCACCCCTACAACTGACCATTCCATTCCTTTTACCCACACCCTCTACTTACAGGCCTTCTTAAAATGGATTTAAAGTGTTCTACACATGCCCCTACAATCTCCTCTTGTTGTGTCAACTCAACTCCATCCACCACCAATTTAGAAATAAAGTTTCTCCTTCTCCTTCCATCTTCCATAGAATGAAAAAAACCTGGTATTTCTATCTCCTTGTTGCAACCATTTACAYCGAGATTTTTGCCTCCAGCTAATTTCCTCCTTATGTAGGTTGTCCTCTAATTGTCTTCTCAACCCTCTTTCGTGTTCCTTGTCTTCTTTTCCAAATTCTTCCCTTTCTTCTTTAGAGTCAAGGCTCTCAAGTTGGTCCATCAAAGCTATCATTCTTTCTTCTAACCTCCCAAGCTCCAAAAGATTCCACTCTTTGATCTTTGCTTTCAAGAATTTTAGTTTCTTACGAAATCTCATCCCCTCCCATTCCACCATTGGATTACACTCATTCCACCACTCCCTTACTCTTTTGATAAACCTGGGATGGAGTAACCACATATTTTCAAATCTAAAGGGGGCAGGTCCACTCCTTTCCTCCTTGCATATCATTATGGGTCAATGATCAGAGGTCACCCCAGGGAGAGCTCTAGATGCCAAGTTCCCCCAATATATTATTCCCAATCCAAAGAGAACAAAAACCTGTCCAACTTGCAACAAATGGGACTAGGGAGATTTGACCATGTAAATGTCTTGTGGGCTAAAGGTATCTCTTTGAGCTCAAAGGCATCCACAAACCTGTTAAACTTCTTCATGCTAGTTGTCACCCTCTGATTAGTATTATTGGTTTCCTCCGAGTATCTAATCACATTGAAGTCCCCACCCACACACACCAGGGCCCATCCCACAACCCTCTGACATCAACCAATTCCTCCCACAATTCCTTTCTCTCTCTGTAGTCATTTGGTTCATACACATTTGTGAGCACCCACACATAGCCATCCTTTTGCTGTTTAAATTTCATGGAAACCGAGTATTTTCCAATCAATTCCTCCAAGCCTTTGACCACATCCCTCTTCCACATTATCACTATTCCCCCTTGAAGCACCCCACGAAGGAGCAACCACCTAACTAATCCCCCTGGCTTTCCAGACACTCCTTGCCCATCTGTTATTAAACTCCATTCTCTTGGACTCTTGTAATGGTACAATGTCTGAGTCATACCTCTTTATTACCTCTTTCATTGTCGCTCTTTTCCTCGCACTTCCTATTCCCCTCACATTTCAGCTAAGTATCTTCATTCTTACTTCTTTCTTAGTTCCCTTCTTCACGTAACCACTACTTCCCCCCTTTCATTCTATCTCCTTTTACCCCAAACTTCTTGTCGCCTTCTACATCTCTTTTTAGTTCTCAACTTCACTCAATTTTCTCTTCTTTGTTCTGATATCCTTCTTCCTCTTTTGTAGGCCATCTTTCAACACATTCAAATCTTCCATCCTACATCCCAGCTTCCCCACGAATTCTGCTATTAGGTCCTCTTTCTTAGATTCCTCCACCACTATTGTCTCTACAGATTCCCCTCCAACTCT